GGTTAAGCTTGGCCTGGCTCGGCCGGATAAAAAATCTAATATATTTATGAAGAAACAAAAAGGGTCCATAATGCCCCCCTCCTCTCCATTATTTTTACAATTACAATTGCTAAACAAGGACTACCTACACACACACACAAACATATTTATATCAACTCAAGGTGGCAAACGTACCTACTACTCCTGTCTCCTCGTTTCCCCACAACAACCCAGTGAGGTAGGTTGGATGGAGAGAGAGGGACTGGCCCAGAGTCGCCTGTTGTAGGAAGCAAGGAAGATGGCCTTGCCAGACTTGGCAGATTCTGTTATCATAGCCAATCTCAGTCAAAGTAGTTTTACCTTTCCTGTGTGGTTGATTTCCTGATCTGGTCTACCTGGTGGGGCTGACACTTGGGCTGAGGGAGAGGGACTGGCCCACAGTCACCCAGCCAGCTTTCGCGCCTAAAGGAAGACTAGGAAACACAGTCTGCTGGTTTCTAATCTAGCTTCTTAACGGCTACACCAAACTGGCTCTCGGGAAGAACTTTCTGTGCGTAAGAGCTGCCAGGCAGTGGAACAGAAACACTTCAGCCACATGAAGTTGTGTGTTTAGTGAAATCGCTGAGGGTGGTGTATAGAAAGGTTGCCAAAGAATGTGGGTTAGCTGGAGAAGGGCTAAGGCAGAGTTAAAATGGAGGCCCCAATTCCCATTCCGATTCTCAGGAGTTGTCCTAAGGATTGGGACACCGTCACGCGTGGCCTTGAATGTTCCCAATTATCGCCTTAGAAGTTTTTATGGTGGGAGCAATACAGATATTTTTCTTACAGTGTGTGCCAGCTGTGGCGGGAGTGTTCCCGCAGAATCCTGCGAACGCAGCAGAGCATCACCTGGGTCTCTGCCCTGGAACCAGGCTCATCGAACAGCCATGTCCTGGTCCAGGTGTTAGCAGCAGAAATTGAGGTAAGTGGTTTGGACAGATTGAGATGCTTCTAACAGAAGCAGGTCTTATTTGTCTGCTGTTGAGGTTCATCCTCTAAATATTCAGACTTTCCTACTGGTCATGTCACACTAGTACTCATTTGTCTTTGTTTAAGACAACGCACATCACAAAAAATTGACCCTTTGTAATAGGCTAGCGCTAAGTTATGCCTTTTGTGCTGTCTTTTCTTTTGAAAGGTGGGCCTTTAAATCCTGTAATATTAAGTGAGCTCTATGAGTAATAAAAATAATAGGAAGAGTTGAGATCTTCTGACTCTGATCTCATGCACTCTTACCTGGGAGTAACCCCAGTGGATATAAAGTTATTTTATTCTGGGAAAACATGTATAAATATCTGTGTTTACTTAGAAATCATTTTATAGAATTCAGGTGGGAATTATTATTGGCCTGGTGTTCTAAAGTTTGCAACTTTGAAGTATTAGGATGTTGAACATTCTAGATTACCACACAGAGCGATGAAGCAGTAGGTACAGAAAACCTCATCTATTTGGCTGGCTAACTATGTCCATATTTGTTAAATGATCACATATTTAATATTCTGTTTTTCTAAACAGAATAGCGATTGTTAAAAAGCAGCTCTTTGACAGTGCAATTATATCTTTTTCACTGGCGTCGGTGAAGAAGCAACTAAGTTTATTCAAGTTGTATTTGGAGTTGTGCTTTTTTTGTGTGTGCAGAAGTTCCTATACGTGTGACTGTCCAACGCCCATCATGTTGTGTTTTGTTTTCATGTTACAGAAAGTTCAAGTCCTCCCCCAGACAGCATTATATATAATAGCAGGCGCAGAGACGTTCAGTGGACACCGAGAGATTTGTGGTTATGGTCTGAAAAAAGGTAAGGCAGCCACAAGACTGTTCTTCCCTCATAAATGTTTTTCTGAGTCACTGGTTTATACATGTGGGGCAAGGAAACAGTCATCTGACAGGACCGTTTGGGTCCTGTAGGTAAAATGTTAGCCTTCAAAGGAGCTCTCTGCTCAGTCATGACTTAAACAACCTCAGCAAAGTATTGTTTGGCAGTAACAAAGAGTGTTGATGTGGGTCTGTGTGTTTAGTTGACCTGAATTCTAGTTTGCTAGAATTTCTTGTGATTGCCAGCTGCGGGAGCATGCAGGATATTGCTCGGAGAATCCTGCAGAGCAGTGTTTTTCAAACTTGGCCACTTTAAGATGTGGACTTCCACTCCCAGTATTCTGGGACTTCAACCCTCCCAGAAGTCATGCTGGCTGAGGATTCTGGGAGTGGAAGTCCATGCATCTTAAAGTGGCCAAGTTTGAAAAACACTGCTGTAGAGCCTTGAGGCCAAGAGTCTTTGCAGGGTCAGGTACCCATCTTCATCCGCTGCTCCATGGTGGATCTTGGGAGCAGACAGCTGGGAGAGGTTGCTGCTGCTGCTGCTGCTGCTGCTGCTGCTGCTGCT